GCCCGGCCAAACCTACCCTTTTTAATGCTTGACTGCTCCCCAGGATCTTCACAAGTGCTGGATGTCTATTATAGAATAATTAGTAAAACAACAAATAACTCTGCCATGGCCCTTACTATGTGCCAAGCACTGCTCTGGTTGTTTTAAATATTGTAATTCACTTCATTTTCCCACCCCAATTTTGAAATAAAGAAATGAAGGCACAAAATGATCAGATCGCTCAGCCAATGTTCCGGAGGTCCAGAATGACCATACGGGATATCAGGAAGTAGGATCTGAAACCAGGTATGTGGCTCTGAAGGGAGACCTGCTAACAGGAGCATCGGGAGGGCTCATTCTAAGATTATCTGGCTCCACCCCCTGGGATTCTGATTGGCTAGGTGAGCTTGCTCGCTTGTGCTGGTGCTCGCAGTGCACACTCAATGGCACTGGGACACACCTAACCACTCCACCACACTGCTTAGCACTGGGTAACTTATGGCCAATGGCGGTGCACTGTGACCTTGAGGCACAGGGCTGGGGAACCCCCAGAACCCACTCCATCCCAAATCAAAGCCCAGCTTTGCTATCCTAACACCTTGCCCAGTCATATCAGCCACTTTTAGCGTTCACTCTTTTCTCTAGAAAGCCCAATGAGCCGTAACCACGCCCAGGGCCCCTATTTTTGGAGTTGTGGACTAAAGAGCCCTGGTGTACGGCAAGGCCTCTGTCTGCTTTACTGCCTCTCCCATTTCCCCTGAAAAGCACCATTAAGTATGACGGCATTCCGTTTTCTATCTCCGCTGGACTCTGCCTATCTCACTCCTCAGAAGGAGGAAGGCTGCATCAGCTCGCAAGGAAGGGGGATCAGCAGAGAAGCCCTCCCTCTGTCTACCTAGAGAGTGCACTCCAGCCTGCCCCTCGGCAACACCAGTGTGGAGATGCGAAAGCAAGTAGAGTCAGCCTGCAGGTCATGGAGGCTGTGTTTATGAGAGCAGCCAACAGGACACCTCCCAAAAAGCCTTGGTACGGCCTGTTGCTAAGAGCTTCTGGCCTCAGAGCATTCTTTAGAAGCTCACCCTCGACTGATAGAGCCTAGGAAGACAGATTAATGGAACCTACTGGGAATCTGATCAGAAGTGGAGGCTAAAGCTCAGATTCTGTTGCAAAATTGCCCCAGGAAGACTGTCTAGCCTTGGTTTAGATAGGCTTATCCATGCTGTCTTGAAGAAGGGACCCCATAGAGACACAGAAGTCTTCAGAGTGTCAGCCAGTTCTTGTAGAACCAGACGCACATGCGTGCATTCCTCATGCCGTCTGCCCTGGAGAAGGGGAGGCACTGGCGCTGCCCCTCACCTTATGCGCTTCCTTCTTTTTCTTCAGAACTCCTTTTTCTTTTCATCTTACTTTCTGCTTCTCCCCCTCCTGACCTTTACTCTGGGCGCTCACTCTTTCTCTTCCCTTTTATCATGCATGACAGCAGCGCAGAGGCACTAGGTGCTCTCTTTAGCCCTGCTGGTGGCTCTTGGGGCCAGAGGTACTGCTGAATGTAAGGACAGGGTGTGGTGAAAAGTAGGGCATGTCCCTTGGACCCCAGAGGAACAAAAGGACAGGGTGAGGGCTATCCTGAATATACAGAAAAGGTGTCACCTGCATTAGAAGCTACCATGGTTCACAATTCTCATAAAATAGTAATAGTAATAACTTTAATAGACGCTACCATTGGCTGATCACTGAACTACTTGCAAAACCTGTCTAGGCATTATACATATGTAGTCATTTAATGCTCATAGCAACAACCCTGTGAAGCAGTTATTAATAGTCGTGTTCTCTAGGAGATAAAATTAAGATTTAATAAGCTGCTCCAATTTGCAACTAAGATGTGACAAATCCAAGATATGAACCCAAATCTGTCTCATGCTAAAGACAAAGTTCTCCAGGGAAAGGGATCCATTTAATTGTGAATCCAGGATTAAGAAGCTTAGAACATCCCACAGATGTTTTCATTTCCTTCAGGGCCATCTTGGTAGAAACCTCACTCATAAGCAGAGCTCCAGAGACTCTTCCATTGCATTACCTGGTACTAACTCATTTCTTTGCCCCTCAAAACCACAATACCCTATTGAATTCCCACTTCAAAGAGATATTTAGCAGGTTTTGGCGAGCGGGCTAGAGCCTTCTATAGCTCAGATTTGAACTTTGGAAATCTCATTCTCAGCCACAGAGCTCAATGAGATTCAAACTGTGGCGGTGGCAGAGACCACACCCTAAGTATGGAGGGCCTGTGTGGTTAACCTGCTTCCTGAGACCTTGGGTTCCACAGACCTTCACACAGCTGTCCCTTCCATATATGGGCACTGTTTGGAAGTGGCATCTGTAGAAGGTAGAGGAGTCCTAACTCTGCACTAGTGATGACATGCTGCCTTCTCTGGGGAAGGGAGATCCACCACTGAAGCTTCATCCAGAACCCCTGGCTCCAGTTCCAGTCTCTTACCAGTGACATTAAGAGCCCTCGAATTCCAGATAATCTTGTTCTAGGCTTGGAGAAATGCTTCTTACAATACATCCTTTCTTTTTAGAATAGTCCTATCCTATAGAACCTTCTATTGATGGAAATGTTTATATTGCGCTTCCTTGCATGGTAAAAACCAGCCACATGTGACTAACAAGTACTTGAAATATGGTTAGTGCAACCAAGGAACCAGTGAAACTGAATCTTTAAATTGTATCGAACTTTAATTAATGTAACTCTAAATGTAAAAGGCCGCATGTGGCCACTGTACCAACAGCACAGTTCTAGGATTAGCCTGAAGAAAATCGGCCCCCTTTTCGTTTCAACCATCTCTGGCACCCAGTGAAATGTAACCTTGGATCTTCTTACTCATCATCAAAAATTCTTGGTTTCCAGGAGGGGCGTAAGATGCTAGCCTCACTTTGCAAGTGAGAAACTTAGGGCACAAATGGAGAAAGCTATTTGCAATATCAGGCAAGGGTGTCCCTAGAATCTTGGAGCTGTAAGCACGGCTGTGAGCCTTCCAGGTTCCTCCTGGACGCATTCCAGACGTTCTTCTTCTCAGTCCATTTTGGAATGAGGAAGAAGAGTATAGGTTATTTATAATAGCATCCTCCACGTGTTTTCCCTACAAACCAGGGACAAAGGCCTGAACCTGGCTGCTGAGATGATGTGTAAGAATGAGTGTGTTCATCCAATTTCTCATCCTGAGACGTAAGTATTTAGAGGGGTAGTATCATTTCTGGCTCCGGGGAGAACCCCAAGGGTCAGATGCAGGGGGACAGCCATCCTTGCTTACCTGAGGAACTTATTCAGATCTCCATGCTTCATGTACTCAAAGACCATGATGAGAGGGTCCCCATCGCCACACACCCCATAGAACTTGACAATGTGCTCATGCTGCAGGTTGGTGAGCAGCTCGGCCTCCCTCTGGAAATCCTTCCGGGCAGCCAGGGTGGGATCCTTCAGCGCCTAGGAACAATGCAGGACAAAGAGTTTTAGCAACTTCAGGGCAGGGGGCTGGCCCCACACACCACTGGGTTCCCAATAAATATGATTTTAAATGGAACGTAAAGACAATGAAGCCCAATCCAAACTATAAGGCCCGAATCCTTCCTCCTCCAGCATTCTGATCCCTGCAGAAATAGACACCTACTTTCTGACATCCACATCCCATGCCCTCACCAGCAATTTCAGGCTGCTCATCACAGAGCCCTGGGCTTCCTCAGGTGAGTATGCATGGCAGCCGGAGGGGCCGTGAGGAGGAAAGCCTGGCAAAAGCCCCTGCTCCAAAGGTTTTCTTTGAGGAAACTGTCCCACAGCTAGAATAAACAGTGTGAAAACCACTGCCCCGACTGCTTTAGCTTTGTGAATTAGCACATGTTCGTAGCCTACTGGAAACCAGGCAGACAACATAATAAAGTCTCCTTGTCTTTTGGAGTGCTTGTTTTTAGATCGTGAAGGAGTCTACATTTGCAAAGGAGGTTGAGTGCTGTGACTTCTGGAAAGCACCTGTGTTCTCCTAATAGGGCTTTGGAGGAAGCAATAGGGTGGGAAGAGTGGAGGAGCAGCTATGGGAATGGCAATCAGTGGACAGAAACCTCAGACACACCCAGGACCAGGCAGAGTCCTGCAAAGTCCTAGTGTAAGATGGAAAGGAGCATGTGAGAACCACCAGAATGCTACCATATGCACTTCCTGTAAGGCCCAGGAAGATGAATATACCCAGGTAGAGCATAAGTTTTGCATGTGGATTTCCCAGCACCTGAAGGGGACTACAAGATCAAAAATGAAGCCTTTGAGCACATCTGAAGGACCTTGGATAGGGCACTGCCATGGTCACAGCAATGCCGGCCAGGTGGACAATGGTCTGTGAAGGGGAGGGGCCCTTTCTGCATGAGGAGCAGCTTATGCAGGTGGGCTCCCCAATTTCTCCAGCCTCTCCCCCCTCCCTATGAAGCCAGAAGGCAAATGAGGCCGAACATTCAGGTGCTTCAACTGACACACTTCAGCCACCTCAATAGACACAACACAAGGCAATGGGGAAGTGAGTGCGACATTGGCTCACCATTTTCAGGTGAGTGACAGTCTAGACAGACTGGAGACTGGGTTGCATTCTCTCTGCTGCGCATCTGGCATTTCCAGGCTGACTGACCTCTCCTGTAGGTCACGTGAGTGCCAATACGTCTCCCTCACCAGAGATCTTTCTCCTGTCCCTGCAGCCCCATCAGCTGAAACCTACAGGGCTTCCTTGGTTCTAGCACTGCCAAAAGAGGTGTATTACGGGATCCATCGAACCTCTCAGCCTTTAGCACGCATCAGAAATGACGGACTTTGAGCATGAAAGGGCCTTACACAACACCTGCTCCTACTCGCTTCTGGAGCTGGAGACCAGTTGGAGAAACTGAGGCTGAGTCTGCCCAGGAATTCGCTCACATGCACACTAATTAAATGACAGACACTTAGAGCTTGACTGGACCTGAGGGTACTGCTGGTGGGCCTCACAGTGCCCCAGAGTTCAGCAGCAATACATGTGGGGTCATCAGGTGGAGGTGTGGTCTTTCAGCAGAGATCAAGTCCCACTTCAACCAGCAACACCTTCTATTTTTTTAAAAAAAAACATTTGGAGGCTTGATAAAAAATATTGCATGATTAAATGAATCTATGGCTGACAAAAATGTTGAAAGTTATCTAGTGTTTTCAGATGAGATAATAACTGGGGTCCTGTGTGGAGAAGGAACTTGCCAAAGATCACATAACACGTAATAGCTTGGGTCTAGGGCCCAGGACACGTCCCTGCTCAGCACACCTGCCTGAATTAATTTACGGGATAAATTAGTCACCAGGCAGGTCCCCAAGAGACTGGTGAGCAGAGGAATAAAAGGATATGACCGTATAGAGGAGAGGGTCAGGAAAGGCGCGGGGCATGGGCTGCCAGCAGAGTGCTGGGCCCAGAGAAGGTGCCAGGCTTGCAGGATAGGCCAAAGACATTTGATCGGCCCATTGCTGATTTTTACCAGACCTGATTCTACGTGTTCTCCACTTCAACTCTCACTGCTGGCTCTGGAAAGCTACCTAACGATAAACAAATAGGATGTACTGTCCAACGTCAGCCAGCACAGAGACATGTGAGAAGTCAGAGAGTCATGGTGAGAGACAGTTTCTCCTGGGGACCCAGCTCCCAGCAGCTGCCCTGAGCTGCATTGGCTGGGTCATGGGTATTGGATGACAGAGAGTGATTTATTTATCTTCATGAAGAAGAAGAAGGGGAAAAAAGGAACATGGCATGGGTGGGATGGGAGAATATAAAGATTTATGTGAACGCTGGATTTATGAGAGGGAAAGAGTAGATCAAATTTGAGGCCAGCCAAATGGCCTCTCTCCATCCCTTTAAATCATTCTCTCCCACAGTCTGGACATCAATGACGGCCATGGGATATTTCTGTTCTCAGGTCTCAAGCAGTACCAGCCAGTGTCCCCCAGGCGGGCACCCTGCAGTGTGAGGCAGAGATGGGGTCCTCATTTGGGAGATGGGCACAAAGCCACCACCATCACCTGTACTCTTCCACAGCCTTTTCTGTGCTTTCAAAGTGGGCTTTCCAGCTCTTGAGTCAAACCTGAAGTTCTCGCCTAATTGGCCAAGGGTGGGGTGTGGCAACTAGGCAGGAGCTGCCAGTGGCCCCGTCCCCAGGGATTGATGCAATTAGAACAGAGGTGACAGGAGGAGGATAATGAGGAGGAAAGTAGGGGTCGGTGACTCCCTGGCCCCTCTCAGTGGGGTCCACATGTAACATCTTCATGGCTGGGAAACCTCAAAATGGGCCACCAGTCAGTGACATGGGAAAGAACCCATTTATCATGGCTGCCAACTGTGAGTGCAGAGATAATGCATTGTGCCAAGAGGTCTCCTAAGCCAGGGAGGCTCCCGGCTCAGGCCTTTGTACAGTATCCTTAGTACAAAAAGGACAGCCAGAATTCGCCCTCCTTCTCTTCCTCTCCTCCTTCCAAAGTTTGGGAACATTTCCCTTTCTTATCTTTCCCCCTGCATGCACCAGCTGTCATGTCCACCTCTGCCTTGGGGAAAGGGTTTTAGTGAGGCTGTTTTTTGAGTCGACAGCTCCCAGTTCTTCCTGGGTCACCTGGCATCCTCACGTCATCCACCCTCTGCTGCCCTCCATTTCGCTTTCTTTTTTTTTTTTTTTCTTCTTTAGGGGGAGATATTTCAAGGGATGTTCAGTTTCAGATTTCATTAATATCCTGAAACTCATGACATATATACAGTATACACACATTCCTAAATGTTCAAAGTCCTAAGTGGTCACACACGTGCACACGCATGCAAACACACATATGCACACTCACACACACATCAATCAACCCCCTTTAATTCACACACACATCAATCAACCCCCCACACACACAACACAAGCTCACATACACTTTAATCAACCCCCCTAAAATCATCTTTCTTTTAGTGACTCAAAATCCACTGCCACCTCCTCTGGGTGAGATTCTCAAACAGCTTCACCAGGAAAGAAGATGGGTAGTTGTCACATAGAGGGGTACCCCTCCCTCATCTGTCTTCCTGGCTTAAAACTGGCCATGGGCTTCCCAGTGTTCGTAGGATAAAATCCAAACTCCTTAACACAGTCATGGACTCTATCAGGTCTGGTCTCCCGGTCTCTGTCTGCCTCTTCTCCCCCATCATTTATGACGCCTCAGTCTCACTGGCCTTCCCACGCTCTCCAAGGTTTTCTCTGCCTCAGAGCCTCTGCTGCTCCTTTGGCCAGAAAACTCTCCACTGAGCTGTGTCTACACTGCAGGCCAGATTAGCTGGCACTGCCTATGACCTCTGCAGATCATGAGATCCTCAACAATACCTGCTAGTTGGATACCCAGGGAGATACTTCTGTCCCAATAGAGAGGCCTACCAAGAGACATTGGTGACTGTTCCCAAACTCATTCATGACAGCTCAACCTGCTAACGTAATTACTTAAAGTAATGAAATGTTCTAGAAACCAATGAAGTATGAGTGTAGATTGAGGAGTTTTTATGGAAGCTATAATGAATGCTTTTAAAAAAGCTGCTAAAGGTCAGTAGTTAAAAATACTGTTAAGAGTGGAAGGAAAAGTATCCAAACATTGGGAAATAGTAAAAATCTGAGATTCTGCACTCAGATGGTTTCGCAAATGTCTTAAGCTCCTGCTTCGATGTAAAATGATTGAAACTGGAAATTTTGACTACTGAAAACAAAACCCAAAACGCTCTTCAAACCAAAAGGAACCCAATAGCTGAAGTTCAGATATATTGGAAGAAGTATAATGCTAAATCCAAATTACTAAAATTATCAAAAACCAAAACATAAATTTCCTGAAGATAAATCAATTTTATCAGAGAGTGGCTCAAAATGATTTTAAAATAAATGCTCAAAAAGAGCAAAGAAATACATTTTTTAAAGAAAATCAGAAGGCATGCTGGAAGTAGGGGGGAGAAACAGAATTCAGGTACCAAAATTAAGAACCGACTAGATATCTTGGAAAAAAAATGTCTGATCATTGAAGTGAAAATAAATACCTCTACAGACAGGAAAAGCTCTAGACCAGATAAAACCACATGAAGAATTCATGAATTAGAAGACCACGGAGGTTCACCTGGGACAGAGCATGAAATGACAGAGAAAAAAAAAATAGAAAAAATGGGGAGGAGGATCTCATTCCCTCCTCTGCAAAGGAAGGGGGTCGCCTGGGTTTGAAGGCCATGTAAATGTTCTTTTTGTCTAACGACCATTTCAGAGTGGCGCCACTTACTTAGCAGTCTATCTCATGCATGATGCTATTTTAATGTCACACTTATACTGCACATATATGCAGATTATGTCCTGTGCCGTCCTGCTCCCTCTCCCCAGCAGGCTGTAAGCACCTTAAAAATAGGCTATGCTTTCTGCTTCTTTATTTGTACCATAGCAACTGCTGGGCAAAACAGTCTTGTTTGGGAAAACTTTATCTTGGGTTATACTTGTGTGTGTTCTCCGGAAGTACAACATTACCCTGAACCGACATGAGAACTAACTCAAAGGGAAGTTTCCCGCAAAAAGAAGTGGAATCTAACGAGGGCAGGAAGCAGGAAACACCACTTCCAAGATGTTCTCTGGAGGAGCCAGGCATCTTTTCCAGGCTGACAACTAGGGAGATCCACTGAGTGGCACATGGTGCAAAGTCCCAGAGGGTTCATCTCCTTGAGGTGCCCAGATCCAAGGCAAGAAGGAAATCTTTTTAAAAAGATGGAAACAGAAATGCACTTTGTGCATTATTCGGTCTGCCCCTTAATGCCAGACCACTCAGGGGAAACATTTCCCAGGGTTTTCAGCCATCATTTCATTCTCTGCTGAAAGTGCAAAAATGTTCAATTCATTCACCAGTCCCCACATGGATGCCGGAACACCCTGTGGATTAGTGTCATCCTATATATTAAAAATACCAGGGCAGTGCGAATCCTAAGCTTAGGAACAACATTAGAAACCTTTCCACATCCCTGCTCCAAGCTGTTTAAAGACACCCTTGCTCAGTTGACCATCTCATGTCTACGGAGACACACGGAGCAAATTTATCGACAGGATGTACAGTAATAACAATCGTTAGCCTTTTAGGATGCAGTACTTTATTTTCTGGAGCAGGGGTCAGCCAACGATGCTTACTTTTGTAATAAAAAAAGGTCACTGGAAAATAGCCGGCCTTATTAGTTAATGTGTTGTTGATGCTGCTTTCCAACAACACGGGCAGAGTTGCAGTGGAAAGTATAAAGCCCTCAAAGTCTAAAATATTCAACTTTACAGAAAAAGTTTGGTGACTCCAATTCCAGAGAGTCAGTCAATGCAAGCTTAGCAGGTCATACATCATGTATCTAAGCAATTCAGTAACATCAACATCAGTGATAATGATGTTGATGGCAACGAATGCCAACTACTTTTTATTGAGTATTTACTAAGCCCCGAACAGTGCATTAAGGATTTTAGACACCTAATGTAATTTAATCACCAACATTGTATGGGGGGGATATTATTATTGCTATTATGCAGATGAAGAAATTGAGGCTCAAAGAAGTTGAGTGTCTTGTGCAAGGTCACACAGCTTATCAGCAGTGAAGCTGGGATTTGCATCCAGGTTCTCTGATGCCCATGCTATGCCTGCACTGTCCTACCTTCATTCTTGGAGGCCATTTGCCTTCTGTGGACAGAAACAGTTCTGTAGATACACAGGACTATGAATACAGAGACCCAAAAGCTGCAGAAACAAGAGCTGGTTTTGTGATTCCTCAATGCTAAGGGCAGGGCCATTCTGAGGTCTTGGTGAGTGTCTTCATTGGGAGCCATATCTCTGGCATTGGTCAGCCCACAACTCAAAACATGGCCGACTATACACTGGCCTCAGAAGCCTGCTCACTGCACCCAAGGCAGTCACTCCAGACCCAGAGAAGGGTTCCAGGGATCTGCGGGTGCCTTCAGGAGGCTACTTGACTCTTGTTTATGTCAACCGCGTTCAAAGATTTGTCCAATATTGGTTTCCAAAGAGAAGCTGTTGACCGCTGGGTGGAAGAGCCTGGAAGGGCAATTAGTAGCAGCAAAGCCCCTTCTCTCCTGCCTCAAGCAATTCAGCTCCTGCCGCAAATCTGCCATGTGCCTTGGCAACACAGAAGCCCTGTGGTTGAAGGAGCCCTCCAGTAGCTTCCAGAAGGAAGTTTCTCCCAGGCATGCTGCCCCTTAGGTTCTGAAACTGAAACCCCTGGAAAATACCTAGCAATTTCAACAACTCCACTCATTATTCTCCCAGTGCTAACGCCCTGCCTCCCTGCTGCAGCCCCTGCCCCACAACATCTTCTTCTATTATCAGTGATGTTTGTGCCCTTGGGAAGTGGTTACCCAGACCTCCTTAAACAGCCCACTCTACAACAGATCAACTCCTGAGAAATGGCCACGTGACTTTCCAGGCTCAGACCGCATGTCCTGTAAAGCCACTACATGGTGAAGGGTGGAGGGTGGAGGGCCAGCCCTGGCACAGAGGTAATCACAAGGCCACCAGAAAAGAACCAGAGTCATTTACAAAAATAACTTGCTCCCCGGGCATAGCTCCCTTAAGTGCTGCAGCCCTTGACCTTGGAAGCCAAAGGAAGTTGTTTTGGTCCCTAGGAAACTTCATTGACCTTGGAGCAAAGTCCTCTGATTGCATCTGAGAAAGCCAGTTGAGTACTATCTTTTCAAATGGAGCGAGCCTCTTCCTCCCCTCCCCAGGCCCTCACCCGTTCCTCCTCCTGGTGCCCGCAGGCCTCTGGGTTTACCTTCACAGCCACGAGCATCTTGTCCTTGGTTGGGCTGAGATTGTAGCACTCGGCCAGAAAGACCTTTCCAAAGGCTCCCTCACCCAGTTCTCGCTTCAACACGATGTCTCTCCTCTTAATGTGCTGCACATCTGCAGGAGGGAGACAGGGAGGAGGGCAGCAAATCAGTCCTCATTTGGTGACACAGGGAGACAGAAGAGTACAGAGGTCTAGGGTGGAGACCTCTGCTGCTGAGTCCACAGCAGGGAAAGGCAAACTCTAGCACCCCAGCTTTAGCATAAAAACCGACATCCCTCTGTGCTTTGAGAGTATGGGCCAGAATCAAATCTCGGTGCTGTCCCTGAATAACCCCCAACCCCTCTAAACCACAGCATCCCCCACTGGCAAATGGAGTCAGTAGTTAATGCACAGGATTCTGGTATTGGTTAGCCAGAGTTGTTGGAGACGCATAAAGCAGTCTCCACAGTTTTGTGCACATGAATCCCCTGGGAATCTTGTCAAAATGAAGATTCTGATCCATTGGGTCTGAGAATCTACACTTCTAAGAAACTCCCAGGTGATGTCCATCTGCTGTCGGTCGCACTTTGAACAGCCAGGTTTCCAGGCTACGATGGAGAATCAGGTTGGCATCCTGGCTCGACTCCATTAATAGATTTTTTTTTTAGCTTGGGAAAGTTATTTAGCCCGAGAGCCTCAATTTTCTCATCTGTAAAATGAGATTAACAAGAACAACTTCCTCGCTGAATTCTTGTGAATTAATTGAGATAATCGTTGAAAGAGCTTGGCCCAGTGCTGAGGGCAAAGTAAAGACAGACACACGTGCACACACACACACACACACACACACACACACACACACAAAGACACACTGGCTTTTATGGTAACAAAAAAGCTGTCGTGACCCCATCACAGTGCCTGGTTCATGACAGAGCCTACTACTAAGGGGTAGCTAAGATGATTTGAGAAAAACTTCTACGTGACCAACCCTTCTCTGAAAGAGAGAAAGACCAATGAGAGCACCAAAGGCAAGTTCAGAGTCCACCCAAGAACGAGAGTATGTGCAGAGAGAAGGGTTGCCCCTGCCTCTGCTAATTTAGCAACCTAATTAAAGTCTGTCTGCCTGGAGAAAGCAGAGCTGTGACCTCAGCCCTCCCACCTATTTGGAAAGAATGCCACGAAGGAGTTGGACAAGCAGTGGGCTGGCGATGAAAGGAGGGAACCGGAGATGACTCACTGACCTTTACATTAATTGTTCAACAGGCAGAAGCCCATTAAATACCTGCATTCACATGATGAAGAGCAGTGCAGAGCCAAAAGGAGGATTTTCCCAAGTGACTCTGTTGAGAAATGAGAGCCACAGCTCCTGGACCGTGGCAGACCGTCCTCTTTAGTCAGAAAACATACAGGGACAGAGGGGCGTGGCTGGAAGCCTTGGGGTAGTGTTTTGCTGGTTTAGGGATTCCTTCAGGAGTAAACCAGAGGAATCTTTTTTCTCCCCTCATCAGAGTCCTTGGTATCCCCCCAGTGTCCCAGATGATCTGCCTAGCAAGTATTCGTGGGAGGAAGCATTTGCAGACTATTTTCTCCTTCCCCCAGGACAGACCTGCAGGTTAACAGCTGCTGGTGACCGCTCCTCCCAGGCTACACGCTGCCGGGCTATGCCCTGGTCTTTACGGGGAGGGGATTAAAATTGGTTCCCTTCCTCACGATTTCTGTCTCTGTTTCTCAGCCTCCGAGGAATGGTATTTGTTGACCTTGGAGGGCAAGGCTAAAGAGTCTCCCACTGCGAAAAAAGAGGAAGTCAAGCCCTCTCTTGGGAGGCCACGTGCTCCTGCTGCCTAATCATTCTCAGGTGACCAGGGATGATGCAGGCTTCTGCAAGGTGAGTGTCTGGCACTGCCCGGGAGTGAAGACAGGGCTCACGATGGCAGCTGTACCATGCCAAGCCCACACCTCTGAACATGCCGGGATGGGGAAGGCAGGCATGGGAAACCACAGGTGCTTGATTCAAGACCTGGATCCTCCAAGGGCTTGTGCACCTCACCGTAAAACAACAAAAACTTGGGTCTCAGATTTCTCACCTGTAAAATGAGTACGGGGGGAATAGTAGAAGTTCAACTTACCTATTACCTGAGCGTGGAAGTTTGTAAGCCTTTCAGTCCTCCAAAATGCAGGCTGTGTTTTGACATTTTCATTATGACTGACATTATTTTACAAAAAGGAGAAACGAGGGCCAATTCAGGCATCCCCACCTACTGGCTGGGCTGGGCACAGAATTCAGAGCATCAGAACATGGCAGGCTTGCAAGTCACTTGGGGAAGAGCCCCCTTCAGCCCCTGTCTCCACTCCAATCCCACCTTCCCTCTCCATTGCAATGAGAGAACTTGAGAACATGTCAAAATCACCTAGACAGCTCACTACAACAGATTGCTGAGCTCCTCTGCCAGGGATTCCCATCTAGTAGGTCCAGGCTGAGGCCTGAGCATATGCAAATCTAAGTTCCCAGGTGCTGCTGGTGCGAGAACCACTTTGAGGACCACTAGAACATGGCTTCTCTGGTGGGGTGGGGAATTAGCCAGCTGAAGAAGTTCACCTTTACAACTTGACCTAAACAGATGCCATGCTCACAAACAGTTTAGCCACGGACCTCACTTCCAGAAGCCCAGGAGGAGGTGAGACATCCTAGACTTAGCTCTAAGGTCCTTCTTCCATCCCTAGCTGTGTGGTCTAGATTGAGTCAAGTCCGTCCTCAGAGGCCCAGCTACCCATCCATGCAATGGAGATCATACCTCTCTTGCCTTCTTAGGTTCTAGAAACATCTCTACAAAGGCAAAACAATATTATATCTTTTCCTGGGTCCCTAAGTCCAACTCTGGGCTCCCCTCAGAACACCCACTCCCAGCTACAGTGAATGCAAAACAGGAATGGAGGAGCTTTAAAGAGAACCAGACTGCTTTTCAGCGCCTGTGCCTTGGCCATGTCTTGGAACCCGTCCTTCTCCTCTCCCTCCCTCGGCAGCAAGAATCACAAGTCCTGAGAGATTCAGACAGGCCAAGTGGGAGCGGCATCCCGGGGGTGGTTTCCCAGCCCTCCCTCAACATCCCGGGAGAGCCGGGCAGCAGCTGCAAACCCCTGGCTGCAGGAGTGGGGACGCTGTGACAGCTTTGAGCCTTGAAGGTAGCAGAGGGCAAGTGACCATAGTACTGGAAGCTCATCTGCTCTCTGCGAGCACGTGAAAAAGGCCAGGCAGAAGCCTCCCATGGGCCAAAGTGTCTTCCCCAAGTTTCAGGGACGTGGAAATACTCAGGGGCTCAGAAGAAAACAGCCTTGGCTCATTCTCGTTTTCATCAGGATGAAAGAATGTTGACACCAATACCCGTGCTTAGCCCTGGGTAGGGTGGTGAGCACTGGGAAGGAGCAGAGGGAAACAAACACAGATTTTATTCGACCATAAATTCTCCCCCAGGAGAGGATTTGTTCCTGGTCATGAGGATAAGAAGCTTCACAAGGTAACCAGGGAGCTTTGGCAGAGAGTAACTGGATTTGGACCAAACACATGAGGCAGATCACTTCCATGTGGACGACCCCATGCCTCAACAAGACTGGAGACTCCAAAATACCATCTGAGGAGCTTCTTTCACTGAAGCTACCAAGGAAAAAGTAGGGCAAAGGGAATTAACTTGCACCCTATGTATTCAACACTTGATTCTCATAATAACCCTGAGAGATTGAGAGACCAGTGTAATCACACCCCTTTCACAGCTGAGAAAACAGAGGCAGGGGGTAACTTTCCAGATTCACAGAGGTAAAAAGTGGCCAAGGACGGACTCTCGTTTATGACGTACAAAACCGTGTTCTTTCCTTTACCTTAGGCTGCCTACCCTCTGCCCTCCCAGCTTTATGGCCACTAAAATGATCCTGTCCACAGAGGCTTAACCATTCATCTTCCACTACCCAGCTTTCCCTCACCCTGCTCATCCAGTAACTCTATGATGGCATCTTCCCAAGGGCAAGGGCAGGGGCCTCCCCGCCCCTGAAGCCCAGCAGAACAGACAAAGCCCTGGGGAGAAGGGTATATCTGGGGACAGAGTGCGGGAACAGCCTCTGCTCAGGCCCTGGGGAATGCCTGGAGTGAGCTGTTTCATTTCTGACGTCCACACGTCTATTTGGGTCCCTGTTCCTGCATTCTTTTAGCTCACACAGTGCTGTTCAGAGCTGCCTCTGGTGAAGCTATCTGACCCACACGCCAAAAAGTGATGGATTTTCCTAAGAGGAGAGGGCATCAATCTCCTTTTACTGCCTGGCTGGCTGGCCCAGCAGAGTCTGGGTCACAAGGCTCAGACATGGAGACACTGGAAGGGGAGGCGGGGCGGGGGATGCATAGCCCAGGCCGTGGGAAGACCTCCCAATCTGCAACAAGGAAGGGGCTGCTGGACAGAGCAGGGGGCTGCTATATAACGGGGGGGAGGGTTCTTTGGGAAATTACAAGAGTTCCTGGGACATTCTGGTCTGGCTTTTCCCTAATTCCTTTTTCTGAGACAGCCACCAACTGGGTTCCACCAGAGGAAGCCACCTGTCGACCTTCTTGTTCCCACAGGACGAACGGTTCATCCGACACAAGTACAGAATGAGCATTTCTGTGTTTTAGTGGCTGCTCCAAGAATTCTTTCTCTGTAGTGGGGACCAAGATAACTATTCCATATGTGTGCGATTCACTTCTGGGAGGTCTTCCAGGCCTGCAGCAAGCGTGATCTAGAGCAGAATCTCTAATCCATCGAGGTCACTGGCCACCTCTGGACGGTGAGCCCTGAGAGATCGGCGGGCAGGCAGGGGTTATTCCTCGTCCTGCCTCTGCTCCCCTTGGCTGCCCTGTGGGGTGGGAGGAGAGACATATACAGAGCCCCTGGATACACTGGCATCGCTGGACACATAGGTGACCACTGTCAGCTTCACCTCCGTTCTAGGAGAATGCGGCCAGGGAGGTGGCAGCCATAAACTGCGTAGCCCTGCTGACCAGGGAGGAAGAGGGAACAAAAAACCTGCCCCAAATGGCACTTGTGAAGGAGTGAAGACTGGGAAAAACACAAAGAAAACCAAAAAACAGATCTCTGTTGAAATCCTGACCCTCTCA